GAACAATTTAATTATTTTACCCAGCAATAGTATTTTTAAAACAACTGAACCATTTTATGTACACAATTTTTCTAATAATTATGATATACTAATTGGCAGAAAATTGTTGAAAAATGCACAATCAATTATAAATTACAAAAATAGCACAGTTACCCTTTTTGATAAAACATATAAATTAATAACTTCAAAATCAGAAAAGAACCACAATTTTTATATCCAAAAGCCAATAGAACCAATTAAAAAATAGCCTCAGGAATCAACAAAAAAAATTGATTTTGGATTATTTCGATTAGATCACCTGAATCAGGAGGAAACTTCAAAGTTGAAAGGCTTATTAAATAAATTCAAAATCTTCAATATGAAGAAGGAGACAATCTAACATTTACAAATACCATTAAACACGTATTAAATACAACACATAACTCCCCAATTTATTCAAAACAGTACCCACTTGCTCAAGCGCACGAAATTGAAGTCGATAACCAAGTACAGGAAATGCTTAATCAGGGATTAATTAGGGAAAGTAATTCACCATACAATAGTCCTACCTGGATAGTACCAAAAAAACCTGATACATCTGGAAAATTAAGTATAGAGTAGTAGTTGATTATAGAAAGCTAAATGAAATAACTATTCCCGACAGATACCCAATACCAAACATGGACGAAATCCTTGGTAAACTAGGTAAATGCCAATACTTTACAACTATAGATTTGGCAAAGGGATTTCATCAAATAGAAATGGACTCAGAATCAATACCTAAAACTGCATTCTTCACCAAAAGCGGTCATTACGAATACCTTCGAATGCCATTTGGCCTTAGAAATGCACCTGCTACTTTTCAAAGGTGTATGAATAATATCCTTCGACCGTTGCTCAATAAACACTGTTTAGTGTATTTAGATGACATCATAATTTTTTCCACATCCCTTACCGAACATTTAAATTCATTACAGCTAGTTTTTTCCAAACTTGCAGAAGCAAATTTAAAGTTACAGTTAGACAAATGTGAATTCTTAAAAAAGGAAGCTCGTTTTCTTGGACACATCGTAACCCGCAATGGTATAAAACCAAACCCCCTTAAAGTTAAAGCCATAGTTTCATATCCAATTCCAACAAAAGTAAAAGAGATCAGAGCTTTCCTTGGATTAACCGGTTATTATCGTAAATTTATCCCAAACTACGCAGACATAGCAAAACCAATGACCAAATGTTTAAAAAAAGGAGCAAAAATAGATACACAAAATATCGACTACATAGAAGCATTCAAAAACTTAAAACATTAATAATTAGAGAACCAATTCTCCAATTACCCGATTTCGAAAAAAAATTCACTTTAACCACAGATGCCAGTAATCTAGCCCTTGGAGCCGTACTTTCTCAAAATGGTCATCCTATATCCTTTATTAGCAGAACACTTAATGAACATGAATTAAATTACAGTGCTATCGAAAAGGAATTACTTGCCATTGTTTGGGCCACTAAAACTTTTCGACATTATTTACTAGGACGTCATTTTCTCATTGCTAGTGACCATCAACCTCTTAGATGGCTGCATACTTTAAAAGAACCAAATGCCAAGTTACAAAGATGGAAAGCCAAGTTAAACGAATACCAATTTAAAATAGACTATATTAAAGGGAAAGAAAATTCAGTTGCCGATGCATTATCAAGAATTAAAATTGAAGAAAATCACCATAGTGAAGTTACTCAACATAGTGCAGAAGAAGATAATAGTAACCTAATTCATTTAACAGAAAAACCAATAAACTATTTCAAAAAACAAATAATTTTCATTAAATCCGATAACAATAAAGTAGAGCATTCAACAATATTCGGTAACTCCATTACAACAATTCAATATAATGTAATGACACTCGACAAAGCCAAACAAATTTTACTTGATCATTTTATTCATAGAAACATTACTATTCATATTGAAAGCGATGTAGATTTTGAAATCATTCAAAGAGCACACAGAGAAATTATTAATACCACTTACACTAAAGTAATTCGCAGCCTCCACTTATTAAAGAATGTTTGTTCATACGCCGAATTCAAAGAAATTATACTTCAATCACATGAAAAACTTTTACATCCAGGTATACAGAAAATGACTAAATTATTTAAAGAAAATCACTTTTTCCAAATAGCCAACTATTAATTCAGAATATAATAAATGAATGCAACATATGCAATTTGGCTAAAACAGAACACAGAAATACCAAAATGCCTCTTAAAATCACACCCAACCCTGAACATTGTCGAGACAAATTTGTGGTAGATATTTATTCATCTGAGGGAAAACATTACATCAGTTGCATTGACATTTATTCAAAATTCGCTACACTTGAACATATTAAATCAAAGGATTGGATAGAATGCAGGAACGCACTAATGCGCATTTTTAATCAGTTAGGTAAACCCAAATTACTAAAGGCAGACAGAGACGGAGCTTTCACCAGCTTGACTCTAAAGCGATGGCTTGAAGCAGAAGGAATTGAATTACAACTTAGCACGGCAAAAACCGGTGTAGCAGACGTCGAAAGACTACATAAGACAATAAATAAAAAAATCCAAATAATCAACTCATCCGATGATGAAGAAGTAAAATTAAGCAAGATAGAGACAATTCTTTACACATACAATCATAAAATAAAACATGACACCACTGGACAAACACCTTATACGCTGGACATCCAATATTAAACACTCAAAATATTAAAGAAAGGAAATAGATAAAATAAATGAAGATCGACAGGAATTTAACATTGACACTAGATACAGAAAAGGTCCACTTCAAAAGGGAAAATTAGAAAATCCATTTAAAGCTAATAAAAATGTAGAAAAAATAGACGAAGACCATTACAAAATTATTAATCGAAATAGGGAAACCCAATACTACAAAACACAATTTAAGAAGAAGATAAGAATAGAACATAATGACGTTTTAAAGCTAATTTCAGAAAATAATACCACACTTTATGTAATTATAATATTAGTAGTTATCGTTCTTATTATTTTTGTTGTCCTATCAAAATTGTATACACAAAATCCACTTACCTTTTTATATACAAAATTTAGAAAACAAGCAAAAAATAATCAAGAACCACAACAAGAATTAGAACCGGCACAAAATCAGTTGCCTGCATTGTACCCTGAAATGCCAGCCCAATCATAGGCAACCCTTTTAAGGGGAGGGAAGTGACATATTCACAAATTCTGTTATGTTCCAAGAAATATGAATCTGCAGCGTAGGCGATCCCACGCTGAACCAATGTAAACAATCCACATCCGGAGCAATTAATGCTCCTTCTCAATAACATAAATAATTCTTCAATCAATATCCCAAGCGGGCGATCTCGCTCCCCAACTTTTGTAAACAAAGGGCAGTAGAAGTAAGATTTTTGTCACAATAATTTAGTCTTAAGCTGAGATCATTTGAATAAAGACGTGAAGCGGAATATTCGTTTTATTAATTCAACTTAGCGTTGTCCTTAGTCAACTGACGGGACATTAGTTCGACTCACAAAACAGAAACACTTCACTATATACATACATTCATTCCGAACTAATAAAAGCGTATTAAAAATGTAACTTCGGCACGCCAAAGTTATTATACACTCTATCTATCTATCTATTCTTTGTATGCCTGTTATGTAATATATATAGTAGACACATTTTCATAAAATTAGGAAGAAAATTTAAGAATAATATAGAATACCTATATCTTAAATTATATGAAAATCTGTTAAAAATTGGAATATTAACTGCAAAGTTTCATTCAGATAGCTTTAAAACTGAAAGACTAGTTTGCGTAGAAACGAACTGACGGACTGACAGACGGACTCGACTTTTGATGCTGATCAAGAATATATATATGTACCTTGTGGTCGGAGATGACTCCTTCACTTCGTTGCAAACTGCTGACTGAAACTTTAATACTCTGCATGAGTATAATGAGGTTGAAATTGAAGATACTATGTTTTTAGGCAGTAATTATGTTTAATTGTATTTACAATGAAGATGCCTTACCTTATCAACTATTCTATATTAAATACACCCACGCCCATTTTTCCAAACATTTTTTTGAACGGAGTCTATAAGAATAATAAATAAAACTGTTTCGAAAAACCTGACTTTGTGTAAAAGTTATTAATTAATACCAAAAATACAAATTGAAAAATTCCCCATAGTGCAGTGTTATTCCGCTACCAGCATCGAAATTTTCCGATTTCGGGATCCACATCAAACCTGACTTTTGCTACTTACACAAACAGTGACTTTACAGCTTACTTCAACTAAATCCAATCCATAATTTACAAGCCTGTAAAATATCAACAAAGGGTTAGTTCCTAAAATTTAAATTCACGCCGTTGATCTAAAATTTTATTTTTTTCTTTCATGTATTTCTAAATATTTTTTTATTATTTTTGTTTCAGGCAACGAAAAATCATGCCACAGAGATGTAACCAAACTGATGATTTATTGCCACCGAAAATTGGAAATGAGGTTAAGGTTGAATTAGGTAAGACTTGCCACACGAAAAAAATTCGTCGTGTTCTCCGAGATTATGATAATTGCATATAATTGCAGAATACCTCAAAAAGAAGCCATTTATTAGCACCAAAAACATCAAGAGTCAGTTAAAATTACAATAGAGCATTTGGGGAAGGATTCATTCTTTTGGAATACGGTTATATTTTCTAAGGAGTCGAAGTAAAATTTTTTACTCGGATAATGACATACGGCGAAAGCCGAATACTGAACTGCACACCAATAATTTTATTTAAGCTTGACTAGAGAGCCGTAACGGTATAAGCTTTTATGTAGGCAGCAGGTATTGGGAATCTCGAGCTTATTGAAACCACGATGGAGGAAACTCAATGGTGAAGAAAAATTTGCTAAAAAGCTAAGAAAAACTTGGCATTTAAACTTATCCTTAACCCATAATTTTAAATCGTTATTACATTACAAAATGAAACTTATCTGAAAGCAAATATTATTTAAACACTTATAATTTGTTTGTTTCCTTTTGTTTTTATACACCAATGTATAAGTATAGACGGGGATATTTTGATCTAATCTCTTAGGTAAGTAAATTTTGAGTACACATTTTTTTCGAAGAAGAAAAGTTTTGCTATCCTACTAGACACAAGGTAAGCCACATTGGTAGGAACTGCATGGTATATATGGTCGGCACGGCGAACAGCAGGCAATACTGTAAATATATGGTTATCATAAACATATTGAGTTCTTTTAAATATATATACCATCTGGAAAGATCCCGCTCCTCCAACTTGACACGCAGAATATCGCACGGTCGTATATATCGACACGATTGCAACTCGCGCGACTTGCCTATGATCCCTTTTGAATTCTGAAGCTTTCTATTAGCAAACAATTTGATTTTTTTTTGTTCTTAGAGCCTTTCCTAAAAAAGGTGCCTTCACTTTCAAGAAATCGCCCACCATTCCCGGAACTGGGCTTAAATTTCGATTTTGCATTGTTTTTGCTGACGAGACTTAATGAAGTTCTTTCTCGCTTGTCTTTTTCGTTTTGAGTTTCCTTATCGTAAACTCGATCCTTTTTGACAAAAACTTCTAATTTTTCTTCGTTGATGTTGCTTGGTAACTTTCGTCATGGTTATCCTTATCTTTACTACCAATTTTATTTTTACTGATTTTGGCCAATTCATTATGTTTATCTCCTTTATGCTCATCAGGATCTACATACTTTTCAATTTTGGCTTCTTTAATTTTACTTGTTCTATTTTTCCTATACGTTCCTTCCATCTCTTCATTGTTATTTATTTACTTTGATTTACGTTCATTTCATTTTTGGGTTGTTTGGTCTTACTTGTTCTATTTTTTCTACCATTTCCTTCTATCTCTGTAATCTTATTTAGATCACCTTGATCCGCATTCTTTTCCATTTTTGTTTCTTTACCTTTACTTGTTCTTTTTTTATATATTTTCCTTCCTTATCTTCATTTTTATTTATTTCACCTTGATCTGCATTTTTTTCCGTTTTCGTTTGTTTAGCTTTACTTGTTCTATTTTTCTTATCCTTTTCTTCTTTTTCCTCATTGTTTTTTATTTTACTTTGATCTACGTTCTTTTCATTTTTGATTTCTTTGGTCTTACTTGTTCTATTTTTTCTATATTTTCCTTTCGTCTCTGTATTCTTATTTATTTCACCTTGATCCGCATCCTTTTCTATTTTTGTTTCTTTACTTTTAGTTGTTCTATTTTTCTTATCTTTTTCTTCTTTCTCTTCATTTTTATTTTTTTCACCTTTATCTACATTCTCTTCCATATTTGATTGTTTAGCTTTACTTTTTATATTTTTTCTTTCCTTTTCCTCATTGTTATTTATTTTACTTTGATCTACATTCTTTTCAATTTTGGGTTGTTTAGTCTTACTCGTTCTAGTTTTCTTATCTTTTCCTTCCATCTCTTCAGTATTATTTATTTTACTTTGATCTACATTCTTTTCAATTTCGGTTGCTTAGTCTTACTTGTTCTATTTTTCCCATTTTTTCCTCCCTTCTCTTCATTCTTATTTATTTCACCTTGATCCACATTATTTTCTACTTTGATTTGTTTAGCTTTACTTTCTCTACTTTTTCTGTCTCTTCCTTCAGTTATTCCTTGATTTTTATCTCTCCCATGTTTTTCATCTATATCATAATTTCGATCTAAAGCTTTAACACTTGCTGATTTTTTTGACTCATCTTTGTCGTAATCCGCCCCTGCCTTACGTTTTTTTGATTCTTTAGCATCTTTTTTGTTGGTTTCTTTGTTGAATTTGATAGGGCCGTTTTCAAAAACATCAATGTGGTTTTGGGGCACAGTCTCCCCGTTCTTCTTTCCCTTTTCGTCACGAATGGTCCCTTTTCTGATCATTTTAGTCTCCCCCCCAATATTATTTTCATTGTTCTGTCCCGAAAGATAAGGCTTTTTACTATTTAGCCTTTTACCCATATTTTCATACCATGAGGCATTGCCTTTTCCATTTATTTTCGAGTCAGGCACGTGAACATCTTCATTTTTTTTTTCTTTATATCCGTTTCTGCGAAATACGCTTTCGGTTGCCATACAATTATTAAATAGATCAGCCCCATCTTTAAAACAGAAGATGAATAAAGATCATCTGTCACTAAAAATGTGTTTATAGATTAAACTAACCTTTTTGTCCTTTGACTACCGGCCTAAAGATTGTGCTATTACCACCGTCGAAAACTGAATAGTTTTCTCGACACCTTTGTCGATTATGATTTTTTATTATCTTATGACATATCCTCTTCAAGATAGAATAGGTATGATCATTAAAAAAGGCGGACTTACAGCACCGATAACATCCACATGGACTGCACAACTTTTCACCATCACAAAATATATTTGTCGAACTAGACGAGCTGAGGCTAGACAAATTAGTAAGAGTTTTACAAGAAACCCCTGAGGTGTACGTACCTAGGTGCCTGGTTGCAGCATATGTACTCTATATTCGTTTCCATTATACAAAATTATACATTTTTTTAAAGGAAAATTTTGAATATATAATTTTGTTAACAACTTTATAAAATAGACATTAAACGCTTAGCTACATATAACTTGTGTTCTAACATAAAGTCATTTCATTCGCCGCCCTTGTTAAATTTAAATACTCTTCAAATAAGCATCACAAAGGAAACAATACAGGGGTAGTCAAAACTATTTACACAAATTCACAATTATTTTTTACCGCCTAACTTATTTTTATACCCTTGCAGGGTATTATAACAACATCAACAGACGAGTCCATCTAGCCATGTTCGTCTGTCCGTCTGCCCGTCTGTCCGTCTGTCCGTTTCTACGCAAACTAGTCTCTCAGTTTTGAAGCTATCTAAATAAAACTTTGTATTTAGCCTTCTATATACTCTCACTTGTATATATGTCGGAACGGGCCGGATCGGACGACTATATCATATAGCTGCCATAGGAATGATCGGAAAACTTTTACAAAAAAATTTTTAACATATTCAGTTTTCCATAGAATTGGATCAAATTTAAAATATAGCCATTTTCTATAATACTCTTCAATTTTGTGTAAAATTTTATGACAATCGGACTACTTTATCATATAGCTCCCGTAGGAAGGATCGAGAAATTAATGCAATTAAACATTATAACTTTTTCAGTTTTCTACAGATTTTCATCAGAGTTATAGCCATTTTCAATTTTCAATCAAACGTTTATATTATATAGGTGCCATACAAACGATCGTTTATGAAGAAGAAAAATGCAAATCGGTGAATGTAAAGCTGCAAATATAATATGTATAGGTGAATGAAATGAAAGCAGGTATTACTTCATTGTTTTTTAACACAAATATATATATTTTATATGGTATGGATTCCTAGTCATAGAATTTCTATCTGCAAGGGTATATAAACTTCGGCGTGCCGAAGTTAGCTTCCTTCCTTGTTGTTATTATTCTTGTTGTTGTTGACCGATTTCCATGAAATTTTGTAATCGCATAATTGATCTAATCAGCAACAAGCAGAAGACGAAAACAAAAGGTAACGGTTCATATGACTATATTAGAAGCCAAAGAAAATATGTATATATATTTTTGATATAGCTTAATAAACTCAATTCCAACCAATTGAAAGCCTGTATAGATACCTATTATTCTTGTTGTTGTTGACCGATTTCCATGAAATTTTTTAATCGCATAATTGATCTAATCAGCAACAAGCAGAAGCCGAAAACAAAAGGTAACGTTCATATGACTATATTAGAAGCCAAAGAAAATATGTATATTTATTTTTGATATAGCTTAATAAACTCAATTCCAACCAATTGAAAGCCTTCATAGATACCTAAGCACATTTTTTGTAACCATTAATAAAGTATCTTATGAGATTGTCACTTAAAAAATATTTAATTTTAATAGCATTAATTTAAAGACGAAAACAAATTAAGTGTAAATATTACACTTTAGATGCATATATTCTTTTACGTATAGCCTTTTTCTATGAACCGTTAACTTTGGAATTCCTTTTTGGCCCGCCTTTGAATAGGTTAATCTACGCAATAAAAAAAATTTCAGGGAAAACGAGCAAAGCGGACGTTCATGAATGTAAAATGAAAAAGAACGCTTCGAACTCCTGGAGAGGATAACCTTAAAAACAGTCAATGATGGACGAGAGGTAGATGCTGAGGCCGAGATTGGTCGCGGCATCTCATATGGTTTTGGAAACCGACAAAGAAGAATCGCAATCCAAGGGAAAAGCAAGTAGCACCTGCAATCAAAACACACAGGTGGGGCTCCGTTGGGAACCATTGCAGAAATGGCGAAAATGTCTCATCATCAGACACAAGCGAGGGTCAACAGATCCCGCTTTGTTATCGACAAGATAGCCAAGAACGAGCCTAAGACCGACACTCGGGACGCCGAAAACAAGGCCAAATTCCTTGCGGAGATCGCGGAATACGAGGCTTATAAAATGCAAACGCATCGGCGTTCCAGCCCTCAAAGGCGAAGCGCATTTGTCACAGGAAGTGAGCGAGAGCGCATCTAAGAACGCGAAGGACCCAGAGGGCAAGCCGAGAGCTACTAAATTGTCAGCAAGACAAGAAGCTTAGCGAGATGGCCAAGACGGTCTTGCTATGCTTTCGGAAAAGTGGGAGGAGATTGAGGCCAAGTTGGCTAGCATACCGACCGGTCCATCTCCTCCTCCGACTCCTCAGTTGCTGTTGGGGGCTAAGATAGCGACACTTGGGCTGTTCTTAAGATTAGGCTAGTCCGCGCCAGGGAGATCCCAAGAAGACACAGAGTTCGCATCTGGTTACCGAAGGGGCAAACCGACCACGCCAGGCTGATCGCCTGTCTGAAGGCCCAGAACCCGGACGTCTATACAAAGTACTGGACAAATTACAAAGGGGGCGGAACAGAAAATGAAGGTGAGTCAACCTTATTTCTTGCTGATAAACCAGTCTAAGCCAACGACCACAAGGTCCGTACGGCATCAGGAAGGCCAAGATAAAGGTTTCTTGGCCGAGCCGTATGGGATACTGGAGGAGGTCGATGAAACCAACAAACTGTTGGACGACATGGTCATCGACGACAACTCCCCTGATGCTACCCCAACTAACATCGATTTCGAAAATCGTGCAGTTTTGCCTAAAACTCAGCTCGCACGCTTCAGCTATCTCACGATCCTTCAAAGGGAGAGGGATATGACTCGGTATGGAAGTCTTGGACAGGGACGGGAAAGTTGTGAACAAGGATGAACGCTTCGGAACTCCTGGGAGAGGATAACCCTTAAAAACAGTCAATGATGGACGAGAGGTAGATGCTGAGGCCGAGATTGGTCGCGGCATCTCATATGGTTTTGGAAACCGACAAAGAAGAATCGCAATCCAAGGGAAAAGCAAGTAGCACCTGCCAATCAAAACACACAGGTGGGGCTCCGTTGGGAACCATTGCAGAAATGGCGAAAATGTCTCATCATCAGACACAAGCGAGGGTCAACAGATCCCGCTTTGTTATCGACAAGATAGCCAAGAACGAGCCTAAGACCGACACTCGGGACGCCGAAAACAAGGCCAAATTCCTTGCGGAGATCGCGGAATACGAGGCTTATAAAATGCAAACGCATCGGCGTTCCAGCCCTCAAAGGCGAAGCGCATTTGGTCACAGGAAGTGAGTGAGAGCGCATCTAAGAACGCGAAGGACCCAGAGGGCAAGCCGAGAGCTACTAAATTTGTCAGCAAGACAAAGAAGCTTAGCGAGATGGCCAGAGACGGTCTTGCTATGCTTTCGGAAAAGTGGGAGGAGATTGAGGCCAAGTTGGCTAGCATACCGACCGGTCCATCTCCTCCTCCGACTCCTCAGTTGCTGTTGGGGGGCTAAGATTAGCGACACTTGGGCTGTTTAAGATTAGGCTAGTCCGCGCCAGGGAGATCCAAGAAGACACAGAGTTCGCATCTGGTTACCGAAGGGGCAAACCGACCACGCCAGGCTGATCGCCTGTCTGAAGGCCCAGAACCCGGACGTCTATACAAAGTACTGGACAAATTACAAAGGGGGCGGAACAGAAAATGAAGGTGAGTCAACCTTATTTCTTGCTGATAAACCAGTCTAAGCCAACGACCACAAGGTCCCGTACGGCATCAGGAAGGCCAAGATAAAGGTCTTCTTGGCCGAGCCGTATGGGATACTGGAGGAGGTCGATGAAACCAACAAACTGTTGGACGACATGGTCATCGACGACAACTCCCCTGATGCTACCCCAACTAACATCGATTTCGAAATCGTGCAGTTTTGCCTAAAACTCAGCTCGCACGCTTCAGCTAATCTCACGATCCTTCAAAGGGAGAGGGATATCGACATCGGTATGGTACAGGAGTCTTGGACCAGGGACGGGAAAGTTGCTGAACCAAGGATGCACACCGCTGTGCATAAACTCGATCGTGAGCATGTATAGTAATTAAGAACCGATTTAATGCTTTTCTCTGTCCCAATCTCAGCACAACTGACTTAGCTGTGGCCAGATTCGTGGCAGCGGATGGAGCGGGCCCGAGCCGGCCCGCCTTAGCCAGGAGTCAAGCAGCTGGTACTCGAGTGCGATGCGAATGCGAGGCAAACACTTTGGGGGAGTTCAGAAATCAAGAAGAGGTAAGTCACTCTTTGATAGTATTATATATAGAAACGTTACGGTATGAAACAAAGACATTACGCCAAACTTAATCTTCCAAGCACGGAAAATTTTCAAGGTTGGGAGAAGGTGTTAGATCTCAACTGGCAAATCGAACACGGTTAATACAAAGTTGAGAACTTGAGGGTATCGACAAAACACTCTTTCTCAGACTACATGTACATTTTCGTTGACCTATCCGCACCGGTAAGCCAGAAGAAAGCCCCATAAAACGGACTGGAACAAATTCAGCGAAATTGTTCAATCTAAATTAAACAGCAGGAGGATCAAGACACAATCCACTGCAAAGGGACTCGATAAGAAGGTGGAGAATCTCACGAATATCCTGAACAACGCCTTCAAAGAGACATGTAAGCTATCATTCTCGAAGAAGCAGTACCCACCGTGGGGGACAAAGGAACTAAGCGAGCTCAGAAAGAGCGCGAGAAAGTCCTTCAACAACAGCTATATAACTCGGGAATGGGAAACATATAAAGAAGCACAAAAAACTTACAAAAAGGATCTATATAAGGCCAAGAAAGAGTCCTGGGGAAAACTACTTCGAGTCACTAGAAAGCATAAAGGACACAGCGAGAGTAAGCAAAATTCTCGCCAAAGGGCACATATGCCCCACCTTTATCAACAGAGCAGACGGCTCTGCTACGACGAACAATTGAGGAGTCTCTAGAGCTATTAGTTGACACTCACTTCCCAGCAAACCTACAAGAGAACTCGGAACCCTAGGAGGAAACGAACACTCAAACGGACACGCCGACGAAAGACATCATTACAACGGATAGAATTCAGGGGCAATAGATTCTTTTGACAGATACAAAAGCCTGGCCCAGACGGCATAATACCGGCAATGCTACAATCGGCCAAGAAAAGCATCTGTAGATGGCTAAAAGCCATTTACGAAGCTTCTATAAGACTGTC